TGATTTTAATGATTTAAGGAAGTCAGATTAGTTTGTCTAAGGTTTTCTTCATGCTCCTTCATCGATAAGCAAAGCGCAGATTTTTCAATTCAAAATTAAAATCCAAACTTGTTCTTGCAACTCGTCACATGTTAAAAGAAGTTACACGTTAAAACCCCAATTTCCTTTAAAAATTATTTCCTAGAAAAGGATGATGAAATGCATTTGCTGTACTTGGAAGAAGCGGATTTTCTTTCGCGCGCTCATCTTTTCTTAATCGACATCCATCAGATTTTGAAAAACTTGCAGCCAGTCATCGCTGAAGTTATCTAAGAAAATAGATCCTAGAGCTCCAGATAAAGAGAAAAAGAAATTCAGGCTAAAAAGAAGGGGTGAATGGCCTTTTCCTCATCATATTCACATTAGTAATGTTTGTGTAGTCATGCTCTCTGCAAGAAGAAAGAAACTCTGTGTCTCTTGTAAATGAGATATTAAGTCTCAGTGGGACTACCTGGATAAACAAAGGTTACATAAATAAAAAGGTTCTGCCTGCTTTGATGTATTTTAAACATGTGGAGTGCTCATAATTCTTTATTATACTACACATGCGGCGCTTTACCTTGATATACGTGCTACATGCTGTGCCCCCTCACTTTAATTGCTTTTTTTCCTGTTTTTTGTGAATTGTTCCTTTTTATCACAGTTTTGGGATTCAGCATGATGGCAGCGGTAATGACTGTGAACCCGTTGGGAAACGACCTTTCGTCATGTCTCCACAGCTCCTGTACGGCACCTCTTTGCCCAGGTGGTCACGCTGCAGTCGCCAATACATCACCCGCTTCCTAGAGTGAGTGCCTGTTTGTTCTGTATGACTGTGCTGCTGTGTAACATACATGTATATAGGCTTGAGGATTCATGTGCCCTAAACTTTTTTGGATTTCTCTGCAGTTTCCCTGTTTGCTGTAATCTGTCGCCAACATCTAGAACCATTAGCAGATCACAAAACTAAACCATAACTACATAATAAAACTTCCTGACCAAGATACACTGCAGTTTAAAACACTGAAAATAAGTTTCATAACACTGTTTCAAATGACCTTTAACATTAGAGCCCTTTGGGTAATAATGGCTTTTCACAATAGTACAGAAGAGAGGCTGTTCTTCACTGCTGAATGCTTTTATTACTGTGGCAATGTTATCTTAGAA